GAAGGGTGTAATTTTCCTCTGAAGGTCCAGTGATGGTGTAGAACAATCTGATCTTCCTCTGGGAATCCAGTGGAAAAAGGCTGACTGTCATGTTCTAGTCTCAGATTGTATCGAGGTAGGAATGCTTGGCTCCTCCCCCTGGGTGGAGCATCTCAGAATGGGATGATGTAATTTTATCAGCCATGCAGTGAGACTCAATGGCCCATTAACAGGAGATATCCCCCTGAAGGGAGGAGGGGTTGTGGAAGAGATAAAGATCACTGCCCCACCTGGTTCTAACAGCTGATTATAGAATTCACAGTTTTGGTTACATCTTGCATTGCAAACTAACACAAGGACAAAAAAGAATTTTCTTGACCTTATCGAAAGATCTAGTCAAGATAATTAATGATTGCATCTCTTTTCAGGTGGGTCATTACTTGTGAGTTTGACCAATAAATTATTACAAAAATGGTGTGTTTTTTAGATATCAGGAAATTAGATTGGGTGATTTTTATTACTATTACTAGGAAAAGAAGTATTGAATGCAAACATAGGTGATAAAAGTCATTGATACAGACATGCTTCCAGCTAAATCCAATGTGCAGTGTGCCACCATGATGTCAGGAAGACAAGTATCTCAAGACGTACTGTTGCTTTACAACAAATTGACAATATTCCATTGATCTCTTCTAGATGAAGCAAAGTCTTCCAGTGAGTTGACCTTGCTTGCACAAAAGCTGAATCAGACAAACGAAACTTTAAGTGTTATTATTTCTGTGCACTCAGCATTAATTCTATTTTATCTGTTTCCAGGAGTACTACCTTAACCCCAAGCTGTCAGTGCTTCCAAGATTCTTCACCACTTCCCACCTGATAGGAAGCTTTCTCCTAAATATGAGTTATAATCTGTTTGGAAACTTCTGCCAGTATCAGAACTAAATTGCACAGAAGAACCTTACTGTCTTCACTCCAAGTCCTAATATGATAATACCTCAAATATCCAACAATATGTGAACCATAAACGGTAGTTCTTTGCTGCTAGAGCAAATTTGCATCATTTGGCTACTGCCTAAAAGCAAGTACTGAAATAATTTATTTCATGCCACAGAGTAAATCACTGTGTGCGCCTTGTTCAAAGTAACATTTAATCCAACCCTGGTCCTAGACTGACAAGGCCCATCAACCTTTCTGCCAGCTGGCTGCCTGTACTTATCTCCTGCATGCCCTTGCAAGTCCCAGGAAGTCTAGACTAAGTCCCAACCTTATTTTCTTTTGCTAACCTGGACTGTTATCAAATGTATTTATCTCATCAGCACTTTCTGCCAGTGCTAGATTGCAGCGGATCCAACAGTTGTCTGGCTAGCTCTAGAGTTCTGTGTAATTCAGCATCCACTTTTGAGATTCCTTTTATGACTTTTTGGACAATTGGTAGCCAAAACCCTAATTTCAGCAATAACTCTGCCCAAGTGAACCCAGTTCACACAATTTCTAAATCAGCCAGCAGCATACCCCAGCCACCAGAACAAAAAGAAAGCGCCAGACAGTCTCTCCTGGCAGTAGCCCTTAGCCAAGGCTTGTCAGCCCTAGCATTACAAAAAGAACATCAATACAATGCAATCCTAATCCAAACACCTCTAAAAGTCTCCAGACAAACACTTGTGCAATCCAACTTTATGCATCCCTCATGCAAGGGGCTTGGTCTGGGCAGGCACTACGAAAGAACCCTCATCGATACCAGGGATTTAAAACCAACATAAACATAGTCTAATCTAGATCTAGGCCTACAATTTCTCCTCCAAACCAAACCCAAGCCTAGATAATAATAACCTTCACTAAAGCTTGTTTTTGGTCTAGACCACTGGTCTTTGCTGGCTCACACCTCAGCCATAGGGTTAGGGCCTTAGCTGAGCAACAATCAGCCTGTGAAGTAGCCCCTAACAGACTGTGCTTTCCCAGCCTCACTCTTCACTGGCAGTCCCTTCTGGCGGTTCCCATAAGTCTGCCACTAATGTATTTCATATTTACAGTCATCTGGTGATGACTCTTCTCATTATATGGTCATCTGCAGACCCCATTGGACAGTACTGCTTCATCCTGTTCAAAAGAGAGCAGATGCATGACATAAACTGAGTACCCCAAGATACTTCTCAGCAGAGGAGATGTTTTAGCACAGACAAGTGAACAAACATGATACTTGCAACAGAGCAGGTCAGGGGCAGCTCTGCCATAAAGGGCATGTCCTCCTGTGTGATATTACTACTCTTATTTCTAGACCATAGAAAGAGACAGATTTCCAAATGGAAATGGACCTTCATTTCTTCAGCATTATATCAAACATGACACATTTTTCTTACAGGAAAGAGGCATTTCTATTCATGTGAACCAGAATTTTGTTCCGAAAACATCAAAACAGAGAAATCATCAGAACTTAGGAAAAGCAGTTCCAGTGGGACTTAAGTTCACTGGCATATTTTTTAGGTATTTTGCCTTTCAAAAGTTGGAGTTTACAGTGGAGACTTAAAATTCTCAAATGATCAATATAAAAAATAAGAACATGAAAAATTTTGCTCCTTCTTGAGTTTTGTGATATCACCTTTTTCTTTTAAATACAGCTGTTTTACACAAATATTTTCACTATTTACACCTCTTGTGAAAAGACTGCCAGGAGCTTTGCACATGAGGAATATAGCATTGTCTATTACACAGTAAAGAAATTACACAGTAATTATACAACTCAGCTCATCCAGGAACAGCATGAGGTTTCTTCTTGCAATTTTAAAGCACTCTGGGTTACCAATAAAGAAAGTTAAGTGTCAACTGACACTTAGTTTCTACTTCTGAATTTTATCCAGGTGTCTAACTAGACCTGTCTGAATAAGAGCATTCAGGGTCAAGTGAAAAGGATTACAAGAATAATTCTGGAGACGATGATTCTAAAATGATTTCTGCCACTGATCCATTTAAATCTCTTTGCATAAAAATCTGCCCAGGAAAATAAATCCTGACACCCAAAGGGATCCCACTTCATAAGGAAAGCTTACTAACACCACTGAGAAATATTTAATCTGATTTTTTTAAAGAGAAGTACTTTACCTTCAAAACCTGAAGGCAAAATCATCATGAATAAAAGAAGTATGAAAAGAATTTCCAAGTCTAACATAACTGAGAGGTAGCAATTGGGATTTCATGCATCTGTACACACATCTGTGCATGCTTATATCTGGTGAAATCTAACAAAATAAATATCCAGAAGAAAAAAACCCAACTTGTTAGAGAAATAATTTAATAGTGTAGAATAATATCTGTGTTGCATGAAGTAATAGCTGAAGTATCTTCTAAAGCTGTTGATTAAAAAACTAACTGATTCAAGAGAAGAGAATTTTTTAGTGCCTAATCCAATGCAAAATTTAATTCTAACCTTAGAAAAGATCCTACAAGCATGAATAGTTGATTGGGAGTTTTTGGTGTATTTTTCTATATCCACAAAAGACAACAGATTTAACACCTAATGAGTCATGTTACTCAAACTTTCAAAGGTGCAAACTCATAGCAGAACACAAAATAATTTCATCTCAATTCAGCAGCGTCTGTCCTGCCCACGCCTAGCCAACTTGTACACTCATATTGGTCGGACTGTCATAGTTTAAACATGGGTCTCCTTTGATTGAACCAGCCCTTCTTACCTTGCTTTGATATAGAAGAAGCACTAAGGGATAAAGATATTTTCCTGTCATAAATGACAACAGTGGAAATATAAGGAAAAGAGTACAACCCTCTTGTTACCTTTTCAGGGCAATAGGTCTACAAGATTAGTTGTTTACCACAAATATATTATAACTAGACTGCCAGAAATTCACAGATATCAGAAATAAAACAAAGTGAGAAATACTGTTTACATTGCACTGATGTTTGCCATCTCTGTATCATCTGTAAAGGAGGTAAATGAGTTTCAGATATTTTGAATTGAACAGTATCCATCTTAGTATGGCATTTTTGTTCTGACATTTAAAAAGGAAGGAACATATTCTTTAGTTCAGGCTTCTCCTTGTGAATGAGTTCTGAAAATTTCAATTTGCTTTTTCAGCTGCTAACATACCATGATGGGCAGGGGACAGTCTACAGGACTGTGCTACTTCCCAAGCTAACCCATTCCAGCCCAGCTCAGCTTAACCCAGGACAATCACTTGGACATTTTCCAGTTTACTGTTCAAACCGCTATCTGCCATTAGCTCAAGGTTAAAGCAAATGTCATCTACCTCTGGGGCTCATAATGAAAAATTTACATAGTCCTGGACATGATACAGGTTTTGCAGTTTTACAGCTGAAATCCTTCAGGTTCCTTGGACCTACTGGAAAAGGATTTATTTTATTGCAACTCCCAAATGTTCATTTTTGTATGTTTGTTTTCCCAGAGAATTGTGAATTGCTTCCAGCAATGTGTTTTATATTACCTGGAAGAATAGAAATGCTCTAATGGGAAGAAACAATTTTCCTCTTATTGCCAGTGAAAGAAAATGCAGAACTTGATGTCATGACTTCTTAAGCAAAGTTATCCCATTTATTTTAGAGCTTAGAGAATTTACTTTTCACTCTCTTACAGTCTTCTGCGCAACTACACTAGTATACACCCAACAAATTATGGGCCAAAAATATATCTTTTTACTTATCACAGACAAAGAAAACTGCATGTCATTGATTTATAAGTACCTCAGTAGTGCATATAGAAAGTAATCTGTCTTTTCTAGAAATGAGTTCATCTTTTCTTTTTAGGGGCACATATTGGCTATGCCTTTTTTTGACATAAATGCAGTCTCTCTCTCCTGAGGAGTTTTCAGTGAGGCTTTCATCAAATACACAACCATAAATAATTCCATCTAGAGTTCAAGATATAGCCTGGATTAGGCTTTGTGATAAACATCTAGTGGAAAATTAAGATCTAGAAAAATCTCTTTCGTCTTCCTAATACATCTTGTCTTATTTTACGTTGCTTTAAGATGTCAGTGACCAATGACCCTCACCTTGATAGTAAAGTCTGCAGTGAGAGGCCCAGATATTCTTAAGATCTCCTTGTCAGGAAACTTCTGGAAGTCAATGCTAGAATTTTCTACAAGGAAGGAGCCAGTGGTGCTGAGGCTGTTTTCACTCTTCACACCTTGGAGAGTCTTAGTTTCCAAATCTGACAAATAGAAAAAAATTGTCAGGAAACCAGAGCATAGCAATTTGAAGAGTGAGAAGAAAAAAAACCCCAGCACAAATTAGTAATATTGCAAGTCTTTTCCCATACTTATTCACATTTCCACACGGTCCTTTTCTTTTTTCTCTTCCATCTGCTTTTTGTCTTTGTTCAACCCATCAATTTCTAGCTCACATTCCCCTCCTCACCCACAGGTCATGTTTTTACTCTCTTTCAGACATACTAATCCATTCCTTGTTAGGCATATTTGCCGTTGCTTCACTCTCAGTAAGTCACGCTCCTGTGTGGAGTGTGACCTCAGACCTTGGCCCATGAGCATTGCTAAGTTGCTGTACCCTCCTTCAGTTCAAAGGTGGGTCACTAACCACATGTTGTTGTGGTAGACAATTAACTGAAAGCAGGATATCCAGGAAAGAAAGATCAGTAAGAGAGCAATTCCATTTCCTCTCCAGAAGCAGTCTGACCCATCCCAGTGGAGAAGAAGAGGAAACTGAGTGCTGAATCCTCCTGAGCTCTCCATCTGGCTCTCTGTATTCACAGTTCCCCAAAAGTGGTCATTAATTCAGATACTGTTTTGTAGTAGCTACTTCTGATTGTCATATTGAAAATAATGATAATTTCTTAAATAGAAGTCAACAGTCAGAAATTAGGTCTGTTTCATCATTCAGCTAGCCTCCCTACCAAGTCCAGATTGTGCTTTACAGGACATTCACCAGTAAGCTATTTCTGGTAGTTATTTAAAAATGACAGAGAAATTTATAATGAAAGATTGCAAAGCTGCAGGCTTTTCACATGTATGTATGAATATAGGCACAAAACCTGCAACACAGCGAGGCAGCTAAGACGTACTATTCATCTATGATGGAGATATATTTTCAAAGACAACAAAAAGAAAAAACCCATTTATTTGCATATATTAAGTTGCTAACTAGGGAACAAAAATGTAATTGCAGTAATTAGACTGCTTTTCATGTTGGATTAAGGGAATTAATTAATGAAGGAAGTTGCTGAGGCAGTACACTAAGAATTTGCACTGTAATGATGAATTTCTTGGTATTCAATGAGACCAGTCTCTTCCTTTGTGCTGCACTTGGCCATCTATTTGTTTTTGGACAAGGCTGCATGCATCAGGAATAAAGATGGTTTTAAGACTTGCATATATATAATCAGCCTCCTGCTGACTTCTCCCACAACCAAAGTTCACAGGGCAAAACACTCCCTCCCCCTGCAACTGGCTGTAGTTCATACATATATAAAATCCATTGATGGGTGAACAGAAAGATTCATGGAGACATCTGAAACAAGAAGGGGATATATTTGGACTTATTCATGTTTACACAGTGCAGTTAATCTAAATCTCAACTGGTGACTGAAGCAGACCTTGCTGATTAAAATCTTTTTGTCATGAAATATGATATGGCCTGAGTGAAGCTTTAGATCCATCTCTCAGCTAAAAATCTCATTTTTCTCTGAGCTGTCTTATAGCTCAATTTCTCTGAAACAATAACAAAAGTACGAAATTTTCTACCTTGGAAAAGAACATCTATATTGGAAAAGAAGACAGGAGAGAAAGGAAGAGTGCATGTCACGTATTGGGAAAGTAATATCAGCCATACTGGAGCAGCTCAGGAATACCCAAAGGGCCACTTAAAACTGAAGTACAGACAGCACTTGAACTTTTAACAAAAACATAATATATTTTTTCTTGGTTTATAACCTATAATTTGCAGGCCTTTATCCACAGCTTTAAATCTGAAGAACCCACTGCTTTCTCAACACAAGTAGGAAGCTACAGTACAGGACTAGTAAGCCAACCTTTATTTTGATACCCTGCATAATATTTTTGGGTGAAAGAAAATATAAAGACAGTGAAACAATTTGGTGTTTCACATCTTTGCTGTCACTCATGTTTGTACCTACACTGACAAACACAGAAGACATAAATGGTCTGTGCATAGAAAATTCCTGAAGACTTTTTGAAAAGGAGAAGGGTAGCCCGACTTACAATAATTTGTGCTACTGAGCAGTCAAGCAGTACAGTTTGGGTTTTTATTCTGACAGTAAGCTGTATTTACTAAGACTCTAATGTTCATTTGCTGCTGATGAAAAAGGAAGCAGCTTGTGAGCAGCTACTGCTCACAAGATGAGAGAGAGGGGTGCCAGGAATTTCTACTCATGAAATAAATGGATTTGCCTTCAGCTCTAGCAGAGTATTCTCAAATCCTGAGATTCCTCCCAGAAAAGAAGGATGTACAGCTGCTGGGATACACAGATGAAGCAGGAAAGTGTTATAGCTACCAAGTGATGGGCTAGCAGAACTCAGTGGTCTTAGCTCCTTGGAGCAGTTATCACTGCTAAAGAACAAGGTTTCATTTTTGTATGCGGTTTCGGGTCTTTAGAGTGTGATTTCGTGTGTGTATCTTGGGGAGAGAGAAAGATCATAACAGAAATGTGTTTAAGTCATGAGCAGCTTGATGGTTGAGCTGAGCTGCAGGGAAGCTTTTACTTTACTGTTCTCAATATTTCTTCAGTCAGTGGTACTTATTTTATTAATTCCAAACAAAAGCACCTGACATCAAGTAAACCAGCCAAAGCATAAGCAAACAGAAATTACTGAGAAATTATGGAGAGGAAAAGAACTCTGCACTGTTCGCCAAGGTCTGCTTCAAAAAGAGTGTACCACTAAGGTGACTGGGTCTGAGGAAAACTTCTGAGAGCAGGACCCATCTGTGTGTTGAAATCAGCGATTTGAGAGAGGAGAACCAGACACCACAGTGCAAACAGAGCACTGCAGGTTGCCAAGGCTCTCTTATATAAGTGTACACTAACTTCTTCTACTTACATAAATGATCGGGTCCTTTCAGCACGAAACGAACTTGTCGGCTTCCATAGGGAATAGCAACCACTGTATCATCCACTGTGGGAAGGCAAAAATGCATGGAGTAAATAAGTAAGGAAATTCCCATCTCTTTTCAAATAAGCATTGAAAGAGATTTACAAGGCAGTCAAAAGAAAAACCTTAAGACCACTTGAAAATGCCAAGAATTATTATTAAAAATCTGAAAAAAGAACTTGTTAAATGTAGTAAGAACCTTCTGCTTAGAAGAATCCAAACCTGCTGATTTTATTTATCCCCAACTCCTTCACAGCTATTTATGGTTTTCACAAATGATTAGTAAGTTTCTATTTCATCACAACTCCACTTAAAACTCTCAAGTATTTTGAATTGGTGTCTGTGGCGAAGTAGAGAAGTGTAAGCTTATTCTGATTAACCAGAATAACTTCCCCATCTTTCACTTGACTTTTCCCCCACTTAAGCCCCACAGCTTCTCCATGATCCTGTCCATGCTATGTGGTCTCCTACTGCTCTCAGCTATGTTATGCCTTTCACACCTCTTATTTTAATGACCATAAGTGCTATAATTCTGCTTCCCTTTCTACACTGCTAGCATAAAGCCCCTGGAAAAGCAGAAGCCCATTAGACTGTCATGTAAATAGGTTTTTCAGCAGGATCTTTCACCTACAAAGCCCTTGGGTCCTTTGCCAACTACATTTAAACCTAGGTTTGAATTAATATGTAGGTCACATGCAGTTGTGAAAGTTAGTTAGGTCAGCATTTCTAATGAGGCAGCAATCTCAGTAATGTTCTGAAGGGAGGCAGAAAGACACAGAAAGATGATATAAAATGCTATACCTGGGTTATGAAGTGGCATGCCCAGAAAATACTGACCTGGACTAACCAGCACATTTCATTCACCTTTCCCTGTCCTTTCTGCTTCCTTCCCATATAACTGGAAATCAGGAAAGAAAAAGTATGCATGGCTAAAAGGACTTTTCTGGGGAATGAGAAGGTGGTAGACATGAGAGGAACAAAATCTCTTATGCTATTTATTCATTAGAACTGCTCACATTTATGTCATGAAATGCCTTCTAGCAGGATCTACAGCTCTGCTCTCAAAATAATGTTTTACTTTGTCAGGTGACGCTAACTCAGACAATAAAAGCATTTTATCTTTCATTCAAACATATGAGTTTGAGTCTTACACTTGTGACTGGACCAAACTGGGAAAACTGTTGGAATCCAGGTGAATCAGGATTCTCACTTACTAGTGAAATAGTTGATGTCGTTATTTTATATCAAAGAGAAGAATCAACACTCACTCTTAACAAGAGAAGAAACACTACCAGAAACAGGAACTTTTAAGCAATACATTAATTCATCCAATACATTCATTCATCCAAAATCATAGTATCTCAAAAACTGTGAACTAGAATCCTTTTAAATTTTAAATTCTGTAGTGCATCACAGGAATTATTGACACTTATATTTCGGAGCTTTATGGGATGAAATACTCATACTTTTGTAGCCTGTTACTATCCCAGAAGTGAGGTGGAGATGTAAGCAGTCTTTCTAAGTGTCACTTCAAATTTCTGGGTGCTTCTGAACCATGTCCCATTTTCAAGTTCTGATTTGATATATTTTCTCAAACTATCCAAAAGTTCATTGTGTAAGTCTTTCATAACACTGGGCTTAAACTCAACACACATTTTGCTCATGCACATCTCTGGTACCACAGTAATTAGTACAGCTAGGAACCTTTCCTATCTATACATAATTAAAATTTTTCTATTTGGAGAGACAAATATTCAATTTCTCAGAAATTAATTAAATACTGATATTCAAATACTTCTTTGTTAGTACCATTCTGGCATTCAGATTCAAGATACCCAGCTGGATAAATTATTTTATCCATTTTGGGGAACAAAATACATGAGCATGACGTACCATTTTCCTATATAACATTTTTCTGAGTTTGTAAAAACAATAATTACAATTAAAAAAACCACAACAATATTAATTACCTTTTTACAATTCTTATTTAAAGACAGTCCCCTGCCATTATTATATCTGATTGTCTCTCAACCTACTGACATGTCACAGAAAACCGAGACAGTATAAAGACCATGTGAGCTTACATTCTCAGCATGCATCTTTTGCCCCAGGGTATTGCTAGGACTGTATTTCACCTGATCTTGTAGTTGCTCTCCATTTGAAATCCTAGCACGCTTTATGTGAAATGTAAAGCTCAGTGGGATTTATGCTTATCACAGTGCTTCCTGCTTTCACAAAGCAGAAGCAGTGGGGACTGAAGGATAATTTCCTGAGGTTAACAGTGATAAGGGGGAGACATTTCCTGTGAAGAGATGTGAAAGTAAGCAGGCTAACGTTTAGTCACAGCTCTCTCCAACAGCAAGCAGAGACAAATTGTTGAGCAGTTGTGTGGAAAAGATACAAAATGCTTTAACAGGTGGTTGGTTTCCTCTGGAGACCATGCATAGGGAAGCAGAGGAAAGTCTCAGGACAGTGTCTCAGTTCTCAGAAGAACAAGCAAGGTTTTAGGCAAAAGTTAAATGTCATGTACATATATCAGATTCCCATAAGGGAGAAGTTTCTTCTAGATTTTGATTTTTAATTTGGATTTTGTCCAGTTTGTCACTTCTCATGAGGAAAATGGAGTTCTTTCTACCTCCTGATTACTACTGATATTCAGTGGAAATCTGGAACCACATTTATTTTTGACAGCCGTAACAAGAGTAATTAGGTGAATATCTAGACAGCACTATTTCTACAAACCGCTTTTAAAACTAATCTACTTAGATAGTAGATGTCAGTCCTGTTTTAGAGAAATACCAGCTTTGCACTAGGTGATCAGCAGAATGCACTCAGAACTTATAGGACTAATTCCCTAGATTCTTGGTAAATACAGAGAAACCTACTTAAATGCAGCTTATTTTCATAGGAAGGACGTACAATGTTCCCTAAAGAAGATATTAAATAAAAAGAGAAAAATTATTGCATTTTCTGCAGACTTCTAAGAACTATCCAAGCCACCTAAGAAAAAAAAGAATATTTCAGGAATGAATGAAGGTTTTTGTAGCTTTTTTTTATTACTAGTCTTACAAAAGTATAGACACAGGTGCTTTCTTTTTCATAATAATGTAGGTGAGAATTCAGTATCATACAACATCCTGCCCTACTATGTTTCTGTCTCTGAGGCCACTGGGACATGTGTACAACCCCTATAAACAACGAAGAAGCTGTTTCTGTAGGAAATGCTAAGTGTTTAAAAGCTCTATGAATTTCTTTCTCTTATGCCTTTGCATGATATAAGCAACGGGGGAAAGGAGCCAGATGCAAGCACCAAGAGAAAATTACTTTGGTGCAATGAGCTCAAGACTGTGTTTGGAATGATTGTGAGATATAAACAGCTTCAACTCTGGAGTAAAGGTCAACTGTCCAAACCCTAGAACAGTCCTCAAGACTGAATGCTGTTCTTAGGGAAACAAAAATCCTGAGTGAGGCCAAGGAACACCTCTGCTGATGTCTAGTCACTGATGTACATTTCTCCCCTGCCTGCGTGGCAGTCTGGCTTTTAATCCCTTGTTCAGACCACAGATAAAGTAGACATAATTCTAGAAAAACAGAATTATTTTATAAAGATAACTTGAAATTTAGCTAGCAATCAGTGAATCCAGTCATTTAAATGACTGGATAAATAAAATGAATCAGGCCCTGATCCCAGATTTACTTGTGTATTTATGTTTATAGAGACAAATAAGCAAGATGCTGACACAGAGGAAGTGCCAGCAGTGCTGGGGAAGATAAGTGCAGATAATGAAGACAATATATTTTTGAAAGAATTCCAGCATTTTAAATCTCAAATTTTCACAACATTTACATAAATCATTTTGACACCAACCTCAGTCTGCAGAAAAAGCATTCATATTAATTCACAAATATGAAGGGGATTCATAATTGTGTCTTTATGATTTTAAAGAACCCAATTAAAAAACCCCAAACTTTTCATCGATTCAAAGTTCATAGTGTTACATAAAAATGTGTATGTTTACAGCAGGGAAGGGAATAATGCCACATTGTTTATACAGACTGCACACAAAATCTACAATTTTCCCTGCTCTGCGTAACAATTCTATACAAATGTGTCTGAAAAATCCATTCTCTAACATTTTTTTCCCATTTGTCTCAGTCTAGGATTGTGCTCTCAGCCATCTGCTCTATCACCAATGTAACATTCTTTACATTTAATAGGAAACCATTGGGAGTAGGTTCTGTGTTTTACTAACATTTTAGTACCATGCATAATGTATGAGTGCTTTTATCCTCAGTAGAGAAGAGATGAGCACCTTTTTACCACAAAGCAACTAAGAAACAATTAACTACTCCTACAGGAAAAGACATTTGACAAAACAGTTCACAAACACTATTATGTCTCAGGTGGCCTGGAGATTTCCAAATCTGTTCCTGCCTATTGCAGAAAACTTCACAAGGAGGTAAAATTCCATTCCTTTATCTTTGTGAATTATTTCCTTTGTCCTCTAATGTACAATTCTGCTTCAGCAATAGAACTCTTAAGACAATTATTCCTTTCTTTCCTTCATAAAAAATAGTTCCCCTCCCCTCCCCTGCCCTCCTGTTTTCTCCTACTCTTCCTCTCAGCAGACAAGGAGCCACAGCTACACTGTTATCAGCTGCTTTGTACACCGTGCTGTGCTCCATACCAACACAGTTATTCTTTGACAGAGAGAAATTTTTGTAAAAAGCAGCTCTCCCTGTTACAGAGCCCACAAGTACACAGCCACTGTCTTCAACAGATACTACACTGCTATTTGAATCTTTTAAGTCCTGTGCTATTCAGCAATTGCAAAGTTGCTCCAGAATGGTAGAGCTGGTCTGATTAAACTCTAAGGCTTGGGGAAGGTTTTCAGGCTAGCACATGTGATTCCTTAGGTGTGTCTACATAGACATGAAAATTCACCTGCTTTTTCATCCTTCTTCAAACCGACCAGACACACCCTATCTCTCACCCCAAATGTTTTATAGTTCCATCAGTGGTGCTGTAAACAGATTGAAAAAAACCTGTCTGGGGTTCAGGATAAATAAACTAACCTCCACACTAGGGGACACTAAAGCTGCCTTACCACGCTGGGTAAAAGCTGGGTCAGCATGAAGGAAAGGCTGTATTTTTCTCTCATGCCTGTGTAGGCACTTTCTGACAACTTAGATTCCTCAGTTCTCAGTAGAACTGAGTGACTGTGCTGAGCATGCAGGCATGCTAAATAGGCCTTGGAGGGAGCACTCTGCCAGGCTGGCACCACCAGCCCCTCAGGGTTTCCCTCTGTTTTAGAGCAGCATCAACCATTCTTTTCAGAGCAGCGTGCACTAAGCCCTATGCATAGCCAGCTAATACAGTCAGAGGGGTGCTGGAAGAGCTTGCTCTCCTGCTCTTCACAAGCAACTAGCTAGCTGAGATGGGGAATATGCTAATGACATCTTTCCACAAGCCTCTGTCCACCCTCCAACCTGACCAAGAGTCTGAGCAAGGCTGCTTTAGCCCAAGAGGTGAGCACCTGTGGGGTAACTAGACTGACCACAATTATTCAGGTACCTGAGAAAGAGTGGGGTGAAATCTATCTTGCAAGAAATGAAAACTTCTCTAAAAGGGGAAGGTGACACTTTACCAGAAGGAACAGCTTACATTTACTTGCAGAGAGCTGGGACTTATACTGGCCTCGAACTAGCCGGCAGGTGGACCCATCTCCATTGCAGACCCCACAGTTATCTTCCTTGACAGCACTTCCCAGCTGGTGGTCACAGCCAACAATCTGGCAAAAAAGAAAGATGTGCAGTTCAACATGAGCACTTACCAATCTGCTCAATCCACCTCTGCAACTAATTACTCTAAATTTCTCTCTTAGCATCTCTAGAGGGCCATAAAGTACCTTAGCAATGAAAGAGACTGAGCAAATCTGGCTAGGAGTGTGCACTGAAGTCAGGCAAGAGATAGTGAACAGGTTAGTACTCAATGGCTTTTGCAATCCAGAGGAAGAAAAGAGCATTGTTGGAGATTGTTATTTTAGGGCATTGGGAACATTTCTTGGTCAGAGTCCTATCAGAAATTTTACTTCTTGGAGTTTCACAAATCAAAATGCCTGAAACAGATAAAAAGACAGATAGGAAGCAGACACATAGATAAAAGTAAAGAGCAGCATGGATCAATAGTAATGTGGCTCTGAAATTTTACCTTCTATGCAGCTGGGGAAGCCATGTGGTTTTAGTTATATTTGACAATAATCCCATTCCACACTGTCAATGCCTGTGTTCAGACATTGTAAAAGATCTGATAAAGAAAGCGGAAATGATTGCGACAAAAGATTGAGAGTCATTGCATAAATGCAATTACCTGCTCTGAAACTGGCTTTATTCCTACATGCAAATTGTTTTGGTTCAATATTTTAAGTTTATTAATTTTAATAAACTAGATTTCTCAGTTTGCAAAACTCCTGTTATTCTGAGGAGAATCAAACAGTAATTTATAATTAAGTACATTTAAAATTAATTAATGGACTATTTGTTTAACACAGTGTTAATGTAGGCCTTTTGGCTTAAGTTCTCCATCCAAGTTATGAATTTTGCATATAAATAACTGAAATCTAAGAAATTAAGAAAGTCCTTACAGTGCTATAATCTCCTTTGTAAGTGTGAGAAAAAGAAAGGCCTTCTAGCATTCTGGCATGCAGAGTAAGCGATGAACAAATATTTGTCTATAACTTCTAATTAGTTTGTCCTAAGGCTCTTAGCCAAATAGAGAGTGTATTTATAAACACAGGGAATTTTAAATAAAGTATTTTTTCAGATTTAAATTTTCCCACATTTCTGAGTTTTAGTTAAATCAGAGAACTAGGTCATAGAAAATGATGAGAATAAGCTGTATGTGTAACTTGCCCACTTAAACATTCTGACTAATATTTCTTATTTGTGCAAATCTGAATGTGCATAATTATGCATCTCTGCTGGGGTGGATATATTTCTGGGTTTGACACTTTCTCTTCATTTGTCTATGAAAATGTAGGCTTTAATAACCAGTACTTTCTTTTAGCAATTCAATTTCTTTTTTAAAATCATTATTTTACTAGCTGCAGAATACTGTTTCCTTGATTATCTGTCATATTGGTAGTATAATTAATTTAATTTAAATAATTTAATTAAGCTTGATGAAAGCTATAATATTTTTTTTTATTTTACCTACTTTTTCCAGCTCAGAAATGGGTGAAGCCTCCTATGTTTACACCTTATATTATGATCCCTCTAAGGGAATTAGTGAAGCCTAAAGAAGTAACAGTCACAAAAAGGACACATTTCCTTGAAAAGCTACTCATATCAAGGCTGCAAGAGATATTTTAATACATTAGAAACACCATGACAAATAATGGTTAGAAAACTGAAGCAAAGATAAGCATAACTTGACTGTGACAGCTCCACACAAAACTTTCAAGTACATGTGTACAAATTGTATCCACAGTACTTTTTTCTCAATAAGTATATCCCTACATGAACTGCGCCTTTGATATACACAGACTGGTATGCTTTAACTCTGCATAGACAAGACATAAAAAGATGTAAAAATAATCACTTGCATGATCTGAAAACTGTATGACTCAGCTTTTCTTTCTAGTGCATTAGAGATCACTAGCACCCATAGTGAGAAGGGTCCTGCTGGGGAGCCCAGGTTATAGAAGAAATTCCCTTTTGTATCTGCTCAATAATTCACTTTAGAGTGGTACAAAATTTTTTATGCCTTTGCCTATTTTGAGACTAATATGTAAACTGCTTGGATAGGAAATAGACTGGATCTTAAATCCAGGTATTAGGTAACCAGTTTCAAAAAACAGCATTTACTACTTTAAAGCATTTTTAACTTTATGAATCATCAGCTCACATGTTGCCATGGGCTATACCCTGATTAAAGCTAATTTATAAAATGAGCAATTTGGAGCTAGGTCATAACTTGTGGAGTAAACTACCAGGAAAATATCAGGTGTGAAAGGAAGTTATACTGTGGTTTGTTTCTTTTTTAATGAGTTGGCCAGCCATTACCAGTGCACAGCATAAAAGTATTTCTTCTGTTGAGATGCTGTGTTTCAAATGGAAGTATGAGCTAAGTGAGGGTATGGAGGCATTTGTGTTTACTAACATTTCTGTGGTATGTGCAAAATATATGTTAACCTTAATGTGTTTGGCAGTGTCTCAAATAATTTTATGCAATTAAGAGTTTGATGAAATTAAATGAATTTCTTATTTCTCCCCAGGGTCTCTGCAGAGATTTCTTTCTTTACTCTGTTAGATTATCTGTCTAAATAGATATCCAGAGCTCTGGGAATATGAACGAAATTTTCATTAAAAAAACTTATGAGTGATTAATGCATGAAATACAAAATGTTCCCAAGTTCATTTTATTCTTTTTTATTTTCTTTCTTTTTTCACTACTTAGGGAAATTCTTCCATCTTTTGAAGGTAATTTCATGCACTAGAAAGGTTGCTAGTGTTTGAAATGGAGTCACTGATGCTTTAAAATGGACACTACTCAAGATCTCTTATATTAGTTTTTAGTAGCTCTACAAGGAAATATTAAAGTGCTCCTGAAAAAATGCAGCTCATGTGAACAGTATCTTTTGTCTCAGAGCAGAAGAAACAAGTTTGGCTGAATTGAGAACATGTAATTTCCACAACATTATTTTCACTCTCCATGAAGCCTGCAGAGAACTCATTGAAAAAGATTATAGAATGGGTGAAAATATGTCACCACTCCCCCAGATGTCTGCAAAGGGTCAACAAGGAACAGGAAGGCAGAATTGTTTCTTTCCGAATCCACCCATAGCAAAACAAAAAGGGAACAGACAAAGAGGGAAGGCTTTAAAATGGCTGTTATCAGAGATGTTAAAGATGCAAGGCACTAGGAGAGGCCAGCTATCAAGAAAAGTAGACTCACTTGGTCTGCAGAACTAGAAAAGTCTGCCAAGACACTGACCTATGGGCATAATCACCTGATGAGGGGTGGTTGAGGACGTTGTCACGAAAACAAGCACCATGGAAGGCACTGCTTCATCAGCATGGATGCAAAGGAAAGCAAAGAAAATAATAAGGATACTTCGCCTCTGATATACAGCTCAGAGTAATGGTTTGGGGGACACAGTTTGAAACAGAATTAGGACATTTTAGAATCAGAAGTCTAGGGAATATTTCACTCTCTGAAAAGCTTTGAAATGTCAACTCCTTGTCTTGGTTTGAAGCTGGATCCAATGTTGAAATCCTGAAGTTTCTGTGGGATAGAAACTTCCCTTTCCAATGCATTCTAGTTCTGATCTTAATATACCCTGGGAGGTTTAGGGAGATGAAGTCTTTTTTCAATCCATAAAGGTCTGGGAAGGAAGCCCCCACTAGGAATAAAAATGGATTACTACAACAAATTGTGCCTGGAAATGTTCTGAAGTAAGCAGTTTTCTTACTCATTTCTATTACATGTTAAGCTTCCTCCCCTTAAAGCAGGGTAATGAGGTACAGACTTTTCACATTGAAATCTTCTGAGTTTCAGGTTGCTTCATGAAGTGTGGTCAGAGGCTTGAACTGCACATTGTTACCACACAAAATATCAGAAGCAGCTCCATTAAGTTCCCTGACAATCTAATCCAAACTCCATTAAAATCAAGAACATGTACTTATAAGTTTGATAAGTTCTGGATTAAACTCTTGTGTGTTTCTAAAGGTGTTCCTATGAAGCTCATTACTACTGTGGTTAAATGCCCTTAAAGCAGTAAAGGCAGATTTTGCAGAGCTCTGGAGGTGTCTCAGTATATGGAAAAAGTCATCCACGTAGTACTGGAGTGAGAAAATCAGGTGAGTACCATCTGCCCACCCAGATCTTCTTCACCACCTCTAAAGTGAGCTGGTTTTTTATTCTTCTTATGGGTTTAGCATAGAAAGTCTAGCAACAAAAAGCCAGAATAATAACAGCTAATCTTTAGTTGGCCAAGCCTGTATTGTTTTCTGGCATCAGGTACCACAGTTCTACTCAGAGGTAAAGATTCCATATTACATTTTAGGCTGAAGTCCCAGACTTCATGCTGAGTTTGACTTTCCCCCCTCTCCCCACCTCAAACCCCCCCTTACTCCACTTGACGGCCCATGGGTTGACAAAACAGAAAAATAAGGATATTCCTGACTCTGAGACACATTGCAAAACAATTTTTACAGGATGCTGCAAGAAAAGAGATGGCTATCAAGTTAGAAGATCAACTGCTTGTGTGTAGTTTAAAGGCACTGGGCTAAAAGTCCCACAACAGGAGTTGGAACTAACTCATTGAGTGCGTGCATGAGTGTTATAAGTGCATGTGTTCCCCTTGTGGACTTGAACTTTGGCTCAGTTTAGCAGATTTTTCCAGAAATAAAACTGGACCAGCAATGACAGGTTCTGCTCCAGCCCTGCTAGTCTGGATGCCCTGAAGTAAGAAGTTTTCATAATAATTTCTATTCAGTATTAAGAAATCCTGGGCAGGAAATAATGTAATAAAGCAAGCTTGCAAATCTAGCCAATTATAAATAAATCTCTCTGTTTTTCAAAGGGCATGTCTGCAGTTCAAATGCAAGAAGTTCTGAGAATCTGAAAAAAACAAAGTTGCCCTTCACATAGATATGAACATGGGGCTCAATGTGGGACTTGTGTGGATTGTCACTGCTCAGTTGAAAAATGTTTGGGATCAGAGCCATCATTTCAGCTGAGTTCAAAATCCTGTTTCACAGAATCAGCATGAAGAGCTGCTCTACTCTT